CTGCTGCGCCCCCAGCTGCTGCCAGCCCAGCTGCTGCGCCCCGGCCCCCTGCCTGAGCCTCATCTGCACCCCAGTGAGCTGTGAGTCCAGCCTGAGCTGCCAGCCGGCTTGCTGCTCCTCCTCCTGCCAGCCGTCCTGCTGTGAGTCCGTCTGCTGCAAGCCTGTGTGCTGCACACCTGTCTGCTGCATCCCAGTCTGCTCCGGCACCTCCTCCTCCTCCTGCTGCCAGCAGTCTGACTGCCAGCTGGCTTGCTGCTCCTGCTCCCCATGCCAGCCGACATGCTGTGTGCCCGTCTGCTGCAAGCCGGTCTGCTGCACACCCTCCTCCTCCTCCATGTCCCTGCTCTGTTGCCCCATCTGCAGACCCACCTGCTGTGTGCCAGCCCCCTCCTGCTGCTCCTCCTCTTGCTAGCCCAGCTGCTGCCACCCGGCCTCCTGTGTGTCCCTGCTCTGCTGCCCCACCTACCCCCACCCAGCCTGCTGTGGCCTCTCCCTGGGCCAGAAGTCCTGCTGCTCACTTCCTAATCAACTTCATCCCAAAAGAGCCAGGAGGCTCAGGTCCCACCTCCTCCAGGCCCTGGATGCCCTGACCTCCCTGCCAACATACCTAGCATCGGTCCTTCTCCTCCTTCAGCAGCCCAGCCCCTGTGGGCACCTGAGACTCTCACCAGCTCCTCCCACCCTGCTCTTGGTCTCCCCGATCCTGGCCCTTGACCACATCCTTCCTGGGGTGTGAGGCACATTAAACTCAGCAGTGTCACTGCTGGTCCCCGAGCACCAATAAAGCCTCCGCTGCCCTATCTCTCTGTGTTCGAGGCACTCGGGGTGGGAGGGGCAGAGGTTGGCCCTGGCCTCAGGCCCTCAGGTACCCGCATGTGACCTGGAAGCCCTTCCCCTCATTCTGTGTCTGCTGCTGGGCCCCGCCAGCTCTGATGGTCTGTAGAGGCCCACGGACCATCCCACAGGCACTGCCCAGCTCTGACCAATGTTCCCGCCTTGCAGATGATGCCACTCTGCCCAGGGCCTAGGAGTTCTGTGGTCACCTGAATGCGGCTGAGCTGGAGGTGGGAGGCCAGGGAGATGCTGGCCTGAGCTGGTCCAGGGCCCAATAGGGCCCCTGAGGGAACCGCTAGGTATCCTGGGCTATGGTGCACACCCTTGAGGTGGCCCCGAATTCTGTACGAGGCCAAGACTCAGCCCCAGAGTCCCCACCGGCAGGCCGGCATGGGCACAGGGAATGGCAGAAGCCCAGGACAGGGAGAGAGGAGATCCAGGGGGTGGGGCACATGTGTGGCCAGGTGCATTTCTGCCCAACGGAGTGAATCTGAGGGCTCTGTCCTGAACTACAGTGGCACAGGTGACAGTCACTGCACTGCCCTCGAAGAGTCCGGTGTGCTTCACAATGGGATGTTGCACAGCGTGGACCTCACAGCGTACAGCATTGGAGTGGGGAACACGTGTCACCAAAGTTGAGGTTCCAGCTCTCCAGTGAGGTCTGCACAGTGTGGGGGTCTCATCGGGATCTCACTGACAGTTACAGGTGACGCCACAGGGAGTGTCCCAACGACACGCCTCCCAGCACAAGAGCCAGCCTTGCTGCCTGGATTCCTAGATGTGGGGTTTGCCAGCCTTCACTGCTGAGGTGCTGACCACTCCCCAGGAGGACTGTCCCAGCAGCCCTGCCCAGAGTGACATCGGAAACACGGGCAGGGTCACCCAAGGGCATAGACAAAACCGGCAACAAACAGCAACAAAAACTCTGGGAAACTTCATCTGAAGTGTAGAAAACAGTCCTAGATCAGGAGTCCTGCAAACCATCCCTGGCCATTAGGAGCCCTGAGGTTCAAAGGAGGTGAGCAGAGGTCTAGAGAGTGAAGATTCAGCTGTGTCCACAGCGGCGCTGGGCTTGCCTCACTTGATAGCAGTGGTGGGACTGGATTCTCACAGGAGCAAGAACCCTACCGTGAACTGTGTGTCAGGGGTTCAGGTTGTACACTCTTCCGAGAAGCTAACCCTGAATCCACTTTGTACCACGGAAAAACTATCCTCCAAGAAATGTGTTCCTTGTGCCAAAAGGGTGAGGACACCGCACTATAGAAAGAACAGTCAAGCCAGAGAAATCAGCTGGCCCAGCAGGGCACTGTGGCATTTCTGCCCACGTGCCACACAGGCCCTAGTTGGATATAGACTGGCAGGTGACAGTGCAGGTCCTGGTGCTGGGAAAGCAGGTTGTCCTTATTTCCGAGGAAATATAGCAGTCTCCTTTGAGGAGAGTGGAGCTCGCCGAAGGACCACACAAACTGCCTGCCTCGGTTTCTCCTAACTCAGGACTTGCAGTGTAGAAGTAGGTATACAAAGGGAATTGGTAAGATAGGGAAAGAGGGGTGAGCTAACTGCCATCACCAAGTGCAAAAGATGTCAGCTGGGAAAGCAACAGGCACTGCAAAAACCTAGGAGGAAAAGCTGCTGGATGAGGTGCTTAGAGAAATGTGGGCTTTGAAAGATTCTGCACATCCCTGGGAGTCTAAAAGGCCCCACACAAGCCCTTGGAGGGCAAATGCTCAGAAAAACCCTGAGCAGCTCTCAGTGATCATCTGGGGCTGAACTTCAAACTCTGCGCAAGCAGGAAATGGAGATGAGCAGGAAGTGAAGGCATGACCAGGAAATGGATAAGTGAGCAGGAAGTGGAGATGTGAGCAGGAAGTGAAGGCATGAACAGGAAATGGATATGTGAGCAGGAAGTAGAGGTGTGAGCAGGAAGTAGAGGTGTGAACAGGAAGTGAAGTCAGAGGAGGAAGTGAAGGCACAGCAAGAGGCAAAAGGAAAGGCAGGTATGAACTGTCCTGCTGGAGTTGAGGGTGTGCTCAACACAAAAATACAAACAGGGCCTTAGAAAAAATAAACCCAGCAGAAAAATATTTTTGGCTGCACTTGTGTTAGTCAGCTTTCCATCACTGTGACAAAATACCTCAGGCAAACAACCTATAAGGAGGAAAGGCTGACTGGGCTGACAGTTTCGTGATTTCAGTCCATGGTTGGCTGTGTGTCGTGTGGACCTGAAATGAGCAGAACATCCTGGTGTGAGTGTGTGGTAGAGGAGCTGCCCGCCTCAGGGAAGCTGGGAAGCAAGAGACAAACAGGCAGGGGCTGGGGTCCAGTGTCGCCTTCAAGGGCACAGCCCCAGTGACGACTTCTTCCCGAGAGAACTCATCTCCTAAGGGTTCCACCACCGCCCACCAGCTGGGGACCAGGACTTCACACGTGGCCTTGGGGAACATTGATGACCCAAGCCATAACCTGAGGGGTTAACTCTGGCGAATCACTGTCTGAGCACTAAGTTAGTGGGACGGTGACCAGAAGGAAGAACAATGCCATTATTGCAAAGCTACTTTACAAACATGACAACAGAAAAACAAGCAACTGCAAGAAATGGGAACTCACCCCTGGCACACTAATGGGGAGGGAATCTGATGTTCAGAGTTATTCCATTGCAATGGTTCTGTCCAGTTCCCACAAAAGTTATCAGGCATCCAAGAAACAGGAAATAGGACCTGGGCACTGAGATGGATGGTCAATGAACAGGTAATGCTCCTGAGCAGGCTCAGAACGTGTGCGCTTGCTACACAACACCTTTGGATCAAGCCTGCCAAACATACACAAAATATCTCATTCTATGGACAAAGCACGAAGAGGAACCAGAAGAATGAGGTTTCATCAAATACAGAGCATCAACAAAGGGAGAAATATTTAAAAGAATAGAATAAAAATTTTGGAATCAAAAAGTACAATAATGGACATGAAAAATGACCCCTAGGGTTTAAAGAGGTTTGTGCAGTACAAGAATTAGTGAACATGAAGATACACTAAAATATGGTAGTCTAAAGAACATTTTTGTAAATGCAAAGGGAACAAATCTTAAGACACTTGTGGGACACCCTCTAGAATACCAAAGTACTCTTCTCAGGAGCTCCCGAAGGAGAGAAGTAGGAAAGAGCAACACAATTTGAAGCACTCCTAGTTTTCATAAGACACACACATCTAAACTTTCAAGAAACGCATAGACTCCATGAGACTCCATGCAGAATAAGCTCAAGTAAAGCTGCGTGGAGACACCTGATTATCAAACCATCATGAGTCAGAATCACAGAGGATCCTGAGTGCGCTCAGACAGGTTAACAGTGGCTTCTCGTCAGAAACAGTGGGGTCAGGGAGAGCTGAATGCAGCATCAAAAGTCTGGGGTGAGGGAGACACTCTTGACCAAGAAGAGTTTGCACCTGGAAAAATTACCCTTTAAAAAGAGAGTGAGCACAGCACATTCACAGATACACAAGCTGAGAGGTGGACTGCGAGTAGACCTGGCTTGCAAGTAATGCTAATCCAGGGTGAAACGCACAGGCTGTGCCAGTAACTCCAAGCTATAGGAAGAAACAAAGAGCAACAGTAAGACCTCAGGTCGGGGCATTAGCATCCTTACGGTGATTTGTTCACTATGTCCTGTTTGTCCTATTCACGGTACTGTTTTACAATCATTTTATCTCTATAAGGTCAGTGCTGATACGTCCATATATTTTGTGTTTTCAGTCGGTATAATGAAAGCTTTTCAATTCTGTTGCTCTATTCAAAGAACTAAAATTTCAGCGTCATTGATTCTATTGTTTTTCTACCTTCTATTTTATTTACCTGTACACTAACCCTTCTCTTCTTTCTTTTGTGGGCCTTGGATTTAATTTGCTCTTGCTTTTATTGATTCTTCAAGTACAAAGCTAAATTGCTGGCTTGAGATCTTTTTTTTGAAAGGCAAGAGTTTAAATGTATCATTTTCCCTCTGAGTACAGCTCTCGCTGCATCTCTCAAGCTCTGGGTCTTTGTGTTTTTCTAATTTACCTCAAAGCATTTTCCACCCTCTGTTTGAATTCTTCTTGGACCCAGTGATTGTCTAACAGTGGTGTTTAATTCACCCATATTTGTGGATTCCAATGATCTTTCTCTGAATTTCCAGCTTCTTTCCATTACGATAGAGAAGATACTCTACGTGTTCCATCATTTTCGATTGCTGAGCCTCGTCCGTGGCCTGACACTGTCCTGGGCCCCCCCCCCCGTGTACTGGAGAGG